TGATGCTGCTAAGACTACTTTTGGTACTTATGTGAAACATAACAAACGAACCAATGTCAAAGTAACTACATTTAAGTCTTGGTTTTACGAAGATTGCAAGACTGCAAGGAAAATATTCAAACAATCTAAAGCTGACTACGCTGTATGGGTATTGCTCATTGTTGAAGGCCGTACGGTGAAATATATTTGTTAACTTCTATGTCATTTGGTCACTGGTAGAGAGTTGTGTCATTGGCAATTATACCACATCTTCTTTTTTTATAAGAGAAAACTTAAACGTTACTTTTAACCAGATCTTTTCAATGAGACAAAATCTCTAGAAAAGCAATACAAAGGAACTATGGATAAAACTATCCTAAAACACCACAAGAAAATTAAAAAACAAAATAAATAATTTGAAATCAAAAAATCCAAAAGAAATACTGGAGAATTTTTAAATAGCAACAAAAACAAAAACAAAAATTCCAGATATCCCAATTACTGTTTTGTTTGACTTTTTCAAAGATTTAAATCAGGGAGAAAATGTAGAGTACGAAAATCGTTCAGAAAGCCATGTTTATGTAGATAGATTGAAAATGCTTTAAGGATCTTAAGAGTAATAGTCTGCTAATGATAGAATTGTTATTGAATATCTTAAGCAATCATTTAGTGTTATGTCAGATATTTATGTAAAACTATTTCATGTAATTTTTGATACAGGTGTCATATCCTAAGAATGGCTCTGGGGCGATATAATTTCCAGTGTTTAAAAATAAGGTGGATACATTTGATAAAAAAAATCATACAAATCACCATGATAAGCTGCTTTGATAAACTTTTCACATCTATTAAATAACAGATTAAATAAATATTCGAAAGAATATAGCTTGATATGTGAAAGACAAGGAGGCTTTCGGAAAGGATACGGCACCACTGATAATGTATTCATTTTATATTCTCTCATTAAGACAATAAAAAACAAAAACAAAATAACACTTGTTTGTGATTTTAACGATTTTGCGAAAGCTTTTGATACCGTTTGGAGAAATGGTATGTGGCAAAAATTACTATCAAATTATGTAAATGGTAAAATGTATAATGCCATTTTTAATATGTATAGTGGTATTAAATCTCGTATTTCATTTAATGGTGAAACTACCGAATACTTTCCATATAATTATGGTGTTAGACAGGGAGAAAACTTATCTTATGTCTATTTTTCCATGTATCTGACTGACTTAGAAGAATCTTTTGGTAACGGTAGATTGTCAAACAATCTAAATTTTACACTTAGTGGTAATGATTTAGAAATTGTCAAGGATATATCATTTTATAGTCATTAGAATTATAACATAATTTTGACTGCTGTACCCCTATTTTATTTTACATTTTTACCTATTATGTCCGTTTGTTTTGTTCACACATTGTTGTCAATATAAGGGAATTATATGCGACTGTTAAATTATAAGTGAGAGGTTTGGCTAGCTATAACACCAGGTTCAATCCACCATTTTCTACTAAGGAAATGCCTGTACCAAGTCAGGAATATTACAGTTGTTTTCCATTCGTTTGATGTGTTTGAGCTTATGATTTTGCCATTTGATAAGGGACTTTTCGTTTTGAATTTTTCTTGGAGTTCGGTATTTTTGTTATTTTACTTTTTTCATATTAAGGCATTATTATTTCCAGAACGGGTAGTTTCACAAGTGCTAAAAATCAACTCATTAATAAAGCTATCAAAGCTATGCACGAAGTCCTAAAAAAGGGCCGTTTACATAACCTGACAGTTAAATGTCAGTACGATCCTTTTGATAAAATCGTTAGACCAATATTGCTATACGGCTGTGAAATTTGGGGATATAGTAATATTGATGCAATAGAAAGAGTCCATTTGAAGTTGTGTAAACTTTTGTTAAAGAAAAAATCAACCCCAAGCTTTATGGTTTATGCAGAGATCGGCGTTTATTCTATGTCAGTGTATGTGGAACACCGTATGGTAACCTTTTGGTCTAACATTGTAAATAGTTCTGATCGGAAATTGACAAATATTCTGTAAAGATATATTTATAAACTAAACGAAGATAGTGGATATGCTTTTGAATGGTTGATTTGTATCTTAAGAAACCTTGAATTTGAAGAATATTTAGACTTATTACCTATTAAAAAAATAAAATAACTTTATGTATATAGGTTTAGAACTAAAAATTACCGGTTATCTATAGAAACAGGTAGATGGCTTGGAATTGTTAGACGGGAAAGCTAATGTGTACTTTATAATTCTCGAGAGATAGTTGATGAATTTCACTATATTCTAAACAGTACAGTTCTAACAGAAAGTAGAAGAGCTTTTCTTAAACCTGACTACGTAAGCCGAGTAAATGTTTTGAAATTCGACAGCTTATGTTTTTCAAAAAATATTTTGGTATTGAAAAATTTGTGTAAATTAACCAGAATTATCAATAAAGAAGTATGTTCTCCAGGTTGATTATCAATCTCTCATCTTTTTATGTTCGTTTTGTACAAACTTGTCATGCGCATAATCTGTATGTTATTATATGTACAAATATCTTTCATTGTACCATTAACTTGTTTTTTTTAAGAAATAAAGAATCTTGAAATCTTGAGAGGTTTTTTTTTATACATACTATGTTTAATATGGTTGAAGTGACAATTTGTATCAAATTGTTTTTTCACTTAATAAAATTCCGAAGTGTAAAATGTTTTCCACCCTGAGTACATCCGTTTTTCAATCCATCATCATTTTGTTCTCGCTATTATAACGACCCGATTTAAGTTTGATGTTTTATTAATTTTGAAAACAATGCTTAATTTATCAAATCATTTCACGAGTTAGATAAATAGGAAAATATATAAATGTAATCAGTATGAATTATTGTCACAGGAATTTGAATTACTTAAACAGCTAAACACAATGCAATAAACTAGCTCATTTTTTTATGTTTTGTTGCTCTAAAGTTACTGAAGCGTATAATAAAAAAATACTGTGTTGAATATCGTATATCAACATAAACCAACTTAAATTTCTATCCGTCAAAAACCTTTTTAATTCACCAGTTAAGTCATGTTAATGCAATGAATGCCATCAAGTGCAAACGAGTCATTACTCGATTTCAATGTAAAAAATTAGTTCCTAGAGTAACGAAATTACGCAACAAAATTTTATTGATTATTATGTTAACAATATTCTTATTGATGTTTGGAAATGAAAGAAATAAAATTTATAAAAGTCAGGGACGATTATCCAGTAAGAGCGAGCAGTTGATTGAATACAGAGGAAAAACTATTTCAACATAATTTTGACTGCTGTACCCCTATTTTATTTTACATTTTTACCTATTATGTCCGTTTGTTTTGTTCACACATTGTTGTCAATATAAGGGAATTATATGCGACTGTTAAATTATAAGTGAGAGGTTTGGCTAGCTATAACACCAGGTTCAATCCACCATTTTCTACTAAGGAAATGCCTGTACCAAGTCAGGAATATTACAGTTGTTTTCCATTCGTTTGATGTGTTTGAGCTTATGATTTTGCCATTTGATAAGGGACTTTTCGTTTTGAATTTTTCTTGGAGTTCGGTATTTTTGTTATTTTACTTTTTTCATATTAAGGCATTATTATTTCCAGAACGGGTAGTTTCACAAGTGCTAAAAATCAACTCATTAATAAAGCTATCAAAGCTATGCACGAAGTCCTAAAAAAGGGCCGTTTACATAACCTGACAGTTAAATGTCAGTACGATCCTTTTGATAAAATCGTTAGACCAATATTGCTATACGGCTGTGAAATTTGGGGATATAGTAATATTGATGCAATAGAAAGAGTCCATTTGAAGTTGTGTAAACTTTTGTTAAAGAAAAAATCAACCCCAAGCTTTATGGTTTATGCAGAGATCGGCGTTTATTCTATGTCAGTGTATGTGGAACACCGTATGGTAACCTTTTGGTCTAACATTGTAAATAGTTCTGATCGGAAATTGACAAATATTCTGTAAAGATATATTTATAAACTAAACGAAGATAGTGGATATGCTTTTGAATGGTTGATTTGTATCTTAAGAAACCTTGAATTTGAAGAATATTTAGACTTATTACCTATTAAAAAAATAAAATAACTTTATGTATATAGGTTTAGAACTAAAAATTACCGGTTATCTATAGAAACAGGTAGATGGCTTGGAATTGTTAGACGGGAAAGCTAATGTGTACTTTATAATTCTCGAGAGATAGTTGATGAATTTCACTATATTCTAAACAGTACAGTTCTAACAGAAAGTAGAAGAGCTTTTCTTAAAGCTGACTACGTAAGCCGAGTAAATGTTTTGAAATTCGACAGCTTATGTTTTTCAAAAAATATTTTGGTATTGAAAAATTTGTGTAAATTAACCAGAATTATCAATAAAGAAGTATGTTCTCCAGGTTGATTATCAATCTCTCATCTTTTTATGTTCGTTTTGTACAAACTTGTCATGCGCATAATCTGTATGTTATTATATGTACAAATATCTTTCATTGTACCATTAACTTGTTTTTTTTAAGAAATAAAGAATCTTGAAATCTTGAGAGGTTTTTTTTTATACATACTATGTTTAATATGGTTGAAGTGACAATTTGTATCAAATTGTTTTTTCACTTAATAAAATTCCGAAGTGTAAAATGTTTTCCACCCTGAGTACATCCGTTTTTCAATCCATCATCATTTTGTTCTCGCTATTATAACGACCCGATTTAAGTTTGATGTTTTATTAATTTTGAAAACAATGCTTAATTTATCAAATCATTTCACGAGTTAGATAAATAGGAAAATATATAAATGTAATCAGTATGAATTATTGTCACAGGAATTTGAATTACTTAAACAGCTAAACACAATGCAATAAACTAGCTCATTTTTTTATGTTTTGTTGCTCTAAAGTTACTGAAGCGTATAATAAAAAAATACTGTGTTGAATATCGTATATCAACATAAACCAACTTAAATTTCTATCCGTCAAAAACCTTTTTAATTCACCAGTTAAGTCATGTTAATGCAATGAATGCCATCAAGTGCAAACGAGTCATTACTCGATTTCAATGTAAAAAATTAGTTCCTAGAGTAACGAAATTACGCAACAAAATTTTATTGATTATTATGTTAACAATATTCTTATTGATGTTTGGAAATGAAAGAAATAAAATTTATAAAAGTCAGGGACGATTATCCAGTAAGAGCGAGCAGTTGATTGAATACAGAGGAAAAATTATTTCAACAGAGTTTGAACGCTTTTATATGAACGTATCATCCGATAAACTGATGGACCCTCTTATTCACAAACACCAATATCGAACGCTACTTAATACTGGTAAGGAGTGTAAAGAAAAACACAAATTTATATTAGTACTTATTTATTCGTCTACATATAAATTTGACGAACGTCACATAATGAGGAATACTTTTGGATCGATCTCGAATTTTGCAAAGAGAGATATTGTATATGACTTTGTGCTAGGGCAAACCTCTGATAATATTCTTCAAGCAAAAATTGAAAAGGAAAGTGTCAGATACAGGGATATCATACAAGGAAATTTTATTGACAGCTACCAAAATTTAACATATAAAAGAGTATTTAGCTTGTTCTGGGTAAATAAATTCTGTAAAGATGCGACTTTTGTTATCAAAATCGACGATGATATCACTATAAACATTCCTTTACTAATTCCTTATCTTAATAATAAGCTCAACAATAACATAACAAATGTTTTAGAATGTTTTACAATTTTGGAAGCTAGACCACATCGTGAACCTGGCAGCAAGTGGTATACGCCTCTCTCTGATTATCCGTTTCCAACGTTTCCACCTTATTGTGCAGGACATTCCTCCATCATGTCTATTGATGTAGTTAAACGAATGTATAAAACGACAAGTATTGTCCCTTATTTGTGGCTAGAAGATGTTTACGGAAGTGGATTTATTCCCTGGGTTTTAAACATTGAAATAGTACGACCGAATTGTTATGTCAAGGATGTGCATCAAAGTTTCAATGAAAAACCATGTCATTTGTTTTACATAAATATTTTACAGAATGATGATGATGGATCGCTATTTAACGTCCGGCGTTTAAAGAATGAAAATGACTCATATAAAATGTGGAAGACTATAAAAACAAGTAGCAAGTCCAAGCAAAACCATACATGCATGTGTTGGTAAATTAATATTTCAATATAAGCATCAGTTAAATTACCATCCCCCCGGTAAAAAAAAAACCAACAAAAATTAAAAAAAAAACAAATGAAATATAAAGAAAATCTAAAATAAGAAAATAACATATGGACATATGTATTTATTAAGTTTTCTTTATAATGTCTCGGACTTCCTTTAAACCGAGTTTTACTGAGCGTATTACTGTGTGTTTGTTTATTTTACATTGACTAGATGTATAGGGGAGGGTCGAGATCTCACAAAACATGTTAACCACGCCGCATTTTTGCGCCTGTCCCAAGTGAGGAACCTTTGTATGTTTTTTTAATTTTAGTTCATTTATATGTTTCGGAGTTTAGTGTGACGTCTATTTTCATTGAACTAGTACACATTTTTGTTTAGGGGCCAGCTGAAGCCCGCCTCCGGGTGCGGGATTTTCTCGCTGTGTTGAAGACCCATTGGTGGCCTTGGCCTGTTTTCTGCTCTTTAGTCGGGTTGTTGATTCTTTGACACATTCCCCATCTACATTCTCAATTTTGTTATGACGTATATTGTAAAATCTGATCTGTTATTTGAACATTCAAACTAGAAGATTCTGTACTAAGCTTATTGTTAACTCTGCTTACATTTCATGACTCAATAAATGTTTAATCAAAAACTTACCCTTTCTTTCTGATATTTGGACCTCGTACATGTCGTAGCTAATGAACACAAATAAGAAAAATTCAAACACAAAGCATAACAACTAAGATTATAAATCTAATAAGACAAAGACAATTGTTTTGACGTAATCGTTGTCATAACGATATTATTTCATCTTATTCGTACATACTTTTGTGTATCTATCTAAGCAAAAATCTGCAGACTTGCATATTTACATGTGTACATGTTTGTGTTGTTTCGTCAATTTTAGACGATCCAATACCTTTTAAACGGGCTGTTTTCCTCCGACTTTATATACTCCCTGTTAAAAAAAGATGCATAAGTGTTTGAAGTAGAACCCAACAATGTAAGATTTGCAAATTTGCAGAATTCGAAAATACGACTTATGACATCAGTGACATTGTTGCATTACTATACGCACTGTGTCAAACACCCTAGACTGTTCAGCCATTTACTCCATATGCAAATAAGTTTCGCTAGTGGAGTTATCACTTTACTGTTCTGCTTTTTCTACGGTATTTACTCAGTTGTGATGTATTGTAACACGTATGGGTGAACCATGCATTTCTGCTGTTGTTGAGAAGGATGAATAATAATTACAATGCAATGAAATCCGTATTAATTCGCTTATTTACGTCTAAATATTTGACGACTAAACGATAATAATGGCTGTGCGTTTCAAAAGAAGGATCCGCTAGATCTGAATATATGATTATTCGGATGTGACATATTAATAACATATTGAAGTAGATGTTTTGCATGCGTCGTTAATCAATTTACCTTGTCGATTGTAGGAAGTCCATAAAGATTACTGGTTTTACATCTGGAATTTGTGTAATAATCACGTTATTTTTCATAATAAGTGACTAAATGCTATACTTTAATTACTTATTTACGACTGATTTTTCCTTATAGTACCTAATAATAAGCTATTAACAATTTCAATATTATACTTTAGATCCTTAATGACTTCTGCACTACTGTGTCTGCATCTTTAATCATGTCTGTATTGTTTTTGAAATGTATTTGGTCTAGACTGCGGACTTTGTATTTCATTATACAGAATGCTGAGTATATACTCATAAAATCATCTAGCGTTTTGTTTCTTCCTTTGGATAGTTTATAAGTACTTTGAATACGGCCAATAGATTAATTTCTGTCCTCTTAATCAAAAGTCATTCTTTTTAACGTAATTATCGACAGAAATTCGAAATGTCATAGTTATCTAATTATATTTGTTATAGTTTGCCGTTTGTGGGTTGAATTTTATTTCATTTCCTCCGAAATAAATGAATCTGCTGTGTTGATAGTGGTTGGTTAGAAAACTGATCTTTTTTCGATATTGCACATTTGGTTTGTGCTCTCGAGTGTCCAGGTGTCTCTGACCTGGTTCTAAAAAAAAAAACGTTCTCTTAATGTCTGTTTGGTATATTAGTATTTTGGTAATTATTTTGACTGCCTGTATTTTGGTCCTGTTCATTCAATTCCTTGTGGAAAGTGTTGCTGGTTCTGTCTAAAAGTACTTGTTTGATTTTGCTTCCTAATATCCTTCATATATCTGTTTCGCAGATTCTGGAAAATATATCGACTATGTGCTGATGTACTACGGCTTCTTTCGTTAAATCTGATTTCTTGTCCGAAACATCCCAATTTTAAGTATTTGATTTGGTACTTCTTCTGGTAATCGACCATTCCGATTGGTGCTATTTTTAAACTTGGGCATACGATTTGTTTTCTGTACAAACACAAAGCATGACAACTTAGATTATAAATCTAATAAGACAAAGGCCATTTTTGTGACGAAATCGTTGTCATTACGATAGTATTTCATCTTATTCGTACATACTTATCGTTTATCTATAGCTAAGCAAAAATCTGCAGACTTGCATATTTACATATGTCCATGTTTGTGTTGTTCCGTTAATTTTAGATTGATTACCATACGTTTCTGGGAAATGGGGTTAAATGCAAAACTTAACCGGATAGGAATGTACGTACGTACGGACGGACAAAGGAAATATATATATGAATATGATAAAATATTGGATTCATCTTATGAAAGAAATTGAATCTTCAAATAATATGCTACGGGAGGCCATAAATCTATCCCAGTCTATGAACAAATCAAACCAGGAATCTTGGATAGGAAACATTAGACATATATTTGAATTCCTAGATTTAGACTATCTATTTGTAAACCAGTCAAACTTGAAACAAAACCATATATTAAAAAAAAATATTCTCTAACAATAAAATTTAAAGAAATTTGGGTAGCTAGTTTAGAAAGCAATTCTGGGAAGAGTACCAATATACAGTCAAGCAATAAATTACAGAAAATTAAAAAATATTTTTATGTTTGAACCATATTTAAGAATTAATCAAAAAAAATACAGGCAAGTAATTACAAGATTTAGAACTGGCTGTCATCACCTTGAAATTGAAAGAGGGAGGTATATTGGTATGAAAGCTAAAGACAGAAAGTGTAAGCCTTGTAACAACGCAGTTGAAGATGAACTACATTTTTTTTAAATGTCCTATTCTGAAAGATATAAGATCTCAACATCTGTCTAATTTGAATTCTAAATTCAAATATTTTTCAAAGTTATCTGATGAGATCAAATTTGTTTTGTACTCCCTTTTTGAAGAACGATCGAAACTTATCAATGTAGTTTAAAAAATAGAAAAAAATAAAAAAATCGATCAGGAGTTGTCTCCCATAGGCCTAGGTCTATAAATTGATTAAGAATACGTATTTTCTCCAGGTCACAGTGGCTTCCAAAGACTTAATGTTTTGTCAGTGACATTCTTTTTTATGTTACTTTATCTAAAAGTGTATACATGTTTTTGTTTAAATGTACTTTAATCACTCTAATCATTCTAATCATTTCATTTTGTAATAATTCAATTTATTGTATAGCTCAAATGTTAGGCACAATGATTGGTTAATAAAAATATCTTATCTTATCTTATCTTTTTTTTTTTTTTCCTTTTTTACATACTTTATTGTAAACTTTAACATTTGTTAGTTGGATACAGAAGGTACCGATACCTTATCCCGGCCTCGTTAAACATTAGATTGTATATTTAGATAGAAAATAGTTAGTAATTGTTAGTATTCTAAATTATAAAATATATACACTATATTATTATGTATCCATTATTTCCATATTGTTCGATAAAGAGAGAAGAGAAAATAATAAATAGATAAGAACAAATACAAAATAAAAACAAAAAAAGAAAACTAGAAAAGAAAAAGAAAAAAAATCACTGAAATTTGGATTTTTGGCAGCAGTATTTTGGTCAAAACTAGCGTGTGTCTTAAGATATATCATTAAATAAATTTGGCAAAGTTGGTTTTCTATTGTAAAAAATTCATACAAACACAAAATAGATATTAAAAAACGTACATGTGGTTTTTGGCACAAAACAAGAACAAAGAACAATAAACATACATATAACAATATATTATATAAAACATATATGGTGGTGTGGAGAAGGCTAAAACAATATACACAGTAACATTACATAGGGTAATGCTAATTTTTTAAGTGTAAATTATTCTAGTAATGGAAACCAGGGGTCCCAGTAGAGGTTGGCAATGTGAAGAGGCTTTGTTTTAAAAAAAATATGCTTTTCTAGTATTAGATTTTCTTTTAGATAATTTTTCAGCCCTGCAAAACTGACTTGATTTTCACACAGTTTTGTTCTATAAATAAAGAATTTTGATAATAGTATTATTAAATTTTTTATTTTATTATTTTCAGTTTTTCCTAAATTTCCGAATAAAATTATATCCATGTTAAATGGAATAATTATTTTTGTTTGGTTATAAATCCAGTCACCGAGTCTTATCCACAGATCTGCTATTTTATGGCATGTCCAAAATATGTGTTCAATATATTCGGTAACTTCATTGTAGAAAGTACATTTATCGCTTTGTTTTATTTTTATTTTAAATAAAAATTTATTTGTGCCCAAGATTCTGTGTATTATTCTATACTGGAACCATTGAAGTTTTGAGCTTTTTGTGGCGTAAAAAGGCATACTATGCACGGTTTTCCAATCAAAATTTTTGTTCAGTGTTAAGGACCATTTGTCTTCACAGTTAAGTTTAGTACTGTTTTTTTCTAATAGAACATTATACATATCTTTCGAGCCTTTTATAGATAAAAAAAAATATTCTTATATTATTTGGAATAATTGGTCCTTGTGTTTTATTAAGATTGTTTATGGGTATATCTTTCTTGAGAGCTTTTTTATATGATTTTATTGATGAAATTACCCCATTATAAGTAAGAAAGTTTGACTTAATTTTATAAATGATTTGGAATTGTTGAAAAGTCACTAGTTTTCCCTCATCGTTTAATATATCATTTATCAAAAAGATCCCTTTATCTGCCCAGTCTTTATAGAAAATAGATGTTGTTCCTATTTTAATATTTTCATTATTCCAGAGCGAATTTAATACAAACTCGAGTTTATTTTTTGGTATAAATTTATTTTGAAAATCTGTCTAAGCTTTAAAGACCTCTTCCCAAAAAGGGTTTTTACATCTTTTTGTTGGGCCTAAATAAACTAGGTTTTCAATACTGATTTTTTCAGTACTTTCTAGTAGCTTATTTAGTTTTGGGTTGTTTTTCAACAACCGTCTAATCCATGTTAGTTTCAATCCTTTTATATATTTGTCAATTTCTATCATTTCCTTTTATATATTTGTCAATATCTATCATTTTCAGCCCTCCTAATTTGTTTTCAGAACATAATATTTCTCTTTTTATCTTGTCAGGTTTGTATTCCCAAATAAATGAATAAATTTTATCAGTTAGTTGTTTTAAGGTATTTTTGCATGGTGCTTGTAATGTTAAAAACAGATGGTTCAATTTTGAAATAATTAGTGTCTTGGTGATTGTTATTTTTCCAACAGGTGTTAATGCTTGTTTAGACCAAATTTTTATTATATTTTCAATTTCCTTAATTCTTGGACCATAGTTCAACAATTCAATTTAATACAAATTGACAGAAAAGTTTATTCCTAGTAATGTAAACCTACTGGAACCCCATGCCAATCCCCATTTTAAACACATGGTGTCTTGCCTATCCACACCACCTTTGTTTTGTCCAAGTTCATATCTTATCTTCTCTTATCTTATATAACCCATCGACATTTGTGGCGGAACATGATAAAATCCAATCTTGGTATCTTCTTAAAATATGAATAACAACATGCAGTATAGGTGACTTAAGTATTTTTTTATGGACATATTTAAGTTCCCATACATTAACTTATCCAGATTACATTAATTCCAAAACCAATTAACCAACAAAAATGTTGAAAAGCATGGTTTGATTTGTAACAGGCCAACTTCAAAGGCTTATTCCATTCATATGACCTTATAACCTTATGACCTCATAGTGCACCAGTGTTTTTTTTATCCTATTCTGCAAATCAATTTACGCAAATAGTCTACCCCATTAGTTATGAGTGAAAATATGTTATTTTTCCACCACTACAACACATTTCACTCAAAACTAATGTTATTTTTTACATTTCACTCATAACTAATGTTTTCTAGACAAATAATTTAAAGACACAGTTTTTTTCGTAAAATCCAACAACATGTAGGTGAAAAGTAAGTAAAGTTTATTTGTCCCAGTGGAATAGCTTTAAACATACTTTATTTACCTTAGAAACATAATTGGACACAAATGGATCAATCTTACATCTACCAGTAACAAATGATATCATTTTGCAAAACATCTGGTAAAGATTGTTTTTCTCATTGATAAATAAAACCCAGCAAAACACAATTTCAAATAATTTCCTTTTGGTTTATGTGATACATTTTGTGTAGCTTTGTCCTTCATTGTTGGTGACAAACTGGTATTTTATACAAATGTCAGTGATTTTGAGAATTTAAAGTACAATAACTTTTGTTTTACTCACCAAACCTTATCACAGCATTTCAATACGGTCGGTAAAGACGTCTGTTTATTTTTGGTGAATTTCGGAAAAGAAGTTTAGGTGCAAACATGTTTTTTATGCTAAAAACAGTGTTTTTTGAGATTTATAAAGTTTTCAATAGTAATTCATGTCGATAAGTGTACCTGTGTCATTTCATATAATATTATTGTCTTTAGTTTTTTGGGGTAGAATAGAAAGTGGACAAAAAAACGTTCATGTATATGCCTATTTGGACTTAAATAACATGCAAGTTTTCCACTAAAAAGTGAAAAAAAACTTTGCATATATCGTTTTTCTTGTTTCATGACATCTTTTAGCATAGAAATGAGCAAACAGTAAAAAAATGTATTTGTATTGGTGGAAAAAATAACATTTTCATGTTAAACAACCTTCAATTCCCAGGCACAGGCTCAAATAAATTCAAATTTTTAATAATTGTAATAAATCTTGAATCCTTGATATATTGAATGATTGTTCAGTTCCTATCAATACATCTACATTATATACATTGTATTACGGCATTTAAAAAGCAAATTTTTGCAATATTTATTTTTTCTTCTTCCAAATCTTGATAGTTGAAATTGTTCAATTAAATGTAAAAAATAAAAACCCAAAGTTAGAAAATAAAAATGGCAATAGTGTCTATAATATAGATTGTATTGTCATGAAACGTTGTCAACTATTTTATAATCCCCTAAGCTTAGGTCATCCCAAATATTTATAAAATTGGTCATTTTTTTTCTTATTAAGGCACCTTCACAAAGTTGGGGTGACATATTGTTATTGTTCGTTTCTTTTTTTCTTATTATGGCACGCTCAACGGAGTTGGGGTGACATATTGTTATTCTACGTTTATTTTTTTCTTATTATTATTTATTGCACCCTCAATGGAGTTCGGGTGACATATTGTTATTCGACGTTTTTTTTTTTTCTTATTTTTATTCTTCCACACATTTTGTCGACGCTATTTCTCGGAATTGAGTGGACCAATGTTAATGGAACTATACCATAATGTGAACACTATGTGAAGTTGTGCAGGAGACATTGGAATGGTTCAAATGGTCACTGTTACCATGGAAACAGCAAAAATGCTCAAAAACAAAAAAAATGCTCCAAAGTGAATGATACTTCACACATATATTAATTGGCATGTGCCAAAAATCGGAATTGTATGAACCAATTTTAATGAAACTATACCATCATGTTAACAAGCATGTGCAGATTTGCAAACGGGGTATGGCATTTTCAAGATAGTTACCGTTGTTATGGAAACAGCAAAACGAAATTTCACACACATGTTAATTGGCATATGCAGATGTTCAATTTGACTTTGGAATATCCGAAATGGCCAACGTTACCATGGAAACAGCAAAAATGTCCAAAATTTCAAAATGCTCAAAACTTAATTAAACTTTAAAAAATTTTTTATTTGGCATGCGTAAATGCGCTGTTTGAGTTTTTAATTTTCAAAATGGCTGCCGTTACCCTGGAAACTGGGGGACGAGGGTGACATCCGTTATTGCTCGCAATTACAAATCTAGTTATGGCACCTTCAACGATGTTGGGGCGACATATTGTTATTCTTAGTTTCTTATATTTCTTATTATTATGGCATCCTCAACGGAGTTGGGATGACATATTGTTATTCTACGTTTCTTTTTTTCTTTTTCTTATTATGTCACATCGGGTGACATATTGCTGTTCCTCCTTTTCTTTTTCCCTATTATTATCATTTTTCTTCCACCTAATTTTGTCCGGCAGTTGTCTCAAAGCCGTAGAAACCAATCTAAATGATTGTTTGTCATAATGAGGACCACCAGTAGAGTTGCAGTGAAACTTTGGAACTTTAAAATGGCTGCCGTTTCCATGGAAACTGCAAAACTGTGAGAAATAAAATTTTTGTTTTTGATGACTAATTTGAGTATGCCTGAACCAAAAATCATGAAATTTTCATGCAATGTAGGTGTCAACTATATACAGGTGTTGGGTTATTTTGAGAATCTTTCGAACTTCTATATTGCAATGGAAACTGGAAATGTTTAGCATTGAACCTTATGGGAAAAATCTAAAAGAAGCATTTACTCGCTTAATATGGTAGGTCAAATCCAGTAAAACTTTAATGGTATGTTCTCTATCATATAACAATGTGGCAGGTGTTTTTTGAATGTTGGAAATGGTCACTGTTACCATGGAAACACTAAAATGTCCAAAAACTTCAAAATGCTCCAAAGTTTATGAAACTTCACACAAAATGTTAACTCGCACGTGAAGAGTTGCCGTTTGAATTTAGAAATTTCAAAATGGCAGCCGATGCCATGGAAACAGCAAAAAATGTGAAAATTTTCAAAATGCTCCAAATGTTCAGAAAAATTACAGAAAGATGTATAGCCATGCATATATGTGCATTCACTGCTTAAAATATTCGAAATGGCTGCCGCTTAGTGGCAGTGGGGATGGGTGACATCCGCTATTGCTTGCAATAGCAATTCTATTCATTATGGCACCCTCAACGGAGATGGGGTGTTATATTGTTATTCTGCGTTTCTTTTATTTCTTATTATGGCACCCTCAACGGAGTTAGGGTGACATATTGTTATTCTTCCACATATTTTGTCGATGCTATTTTTCGGAATTGAATGGCCACCTTTTCAACAAGTTTAACTTTCTATCAGTATGACCGAATTTAAAAAAGATCAACCTTTTCGCAAGAGGTATTCCAAGTTTCAAAGTAGTCGAAGGTTTTGTCCCCAAATGGATTTTCCTTTTATCTGGCAACGAATAAAGCAATTTTATTATATATTGCAACAACAACAAAATCATGCACAATGGGTTATTTAAAAAGTTTATTCCAGCTGAATATTTACCAATCTCAAATTTTAAAACTTATTTGTGCAAGATGTCATTAACTGCATCGACAGTAGCCATACACGGGCAGTTTGAATGTTATCACGTTTACGGACAGAACTGGTGGCAATTTATCTTATTTGCAAGAAAACTGAAAACAAATGAGAAAGCATATATTTAAGCTCTTGAAATTTCGTACGTCTTTTAGCAAAGGAAACCGCAGTCAAAACACATTTTCTTCGGTTTTAAATTCTTTCTGGCCTATCTAACAAGTACTGCCGATGTCTATTTATTTCATGATTAGACTTCATCAACATGTTGGAAATGTTGTTTCTCTTTTGTTCATGAGTGTCAGTATCCAACAGAAATTTGTGGCAACCTTAGCTTGTTTTAGGAATGCACATCTTTTGAAAATGCTTTCTTGATTTGGAGTTATCTTTTCACATATTATTTACTTTTTCCAAGTAAATGGGCAGCATGCTTGTAGATTTCTTAACATATTTTCATTGCATTGCATCTCTTACTGTTATCATAAATGGTCTAAAAATCAAAGCTGGAAGTTTGCGTGCATGTTAACCACCCAAATACCACACACATACTTGTTGTGTCTGTACCACGTCAGGCGTTTGACCCGTGTTCGTGGTTTGTGTTGTATCTCCAACTGTCCAATATTGTGGATACTTAATACCGTTGGAATGAAATATTGATATACTTGAACAAATTCGTTTGCTTTGAGCAGAATCTGTCATGCAAAGACTGTTGTTCATGCCATGTAAGTGATATATGTGGTAACATGAAGATACGTCATGCAATGGATGACGGAAATGACGATGGTTGAGTATAGACCATGGAAAGTTTGAAAATCGTTGGTACGCTATAACGGAAAGGGATAAGACTCCTTTGAAATGAACATAAGGAAGTAAAACTGACCATAAAAAAAAAGACTTTTAATTGATTGGAAGCAGTTGTATTAAAGGAGCGAGACAAATTCTTGTAGTAAACACATACGATAATCTCATTATGATGTCTGTAACTGTATTACTGCACTTGAACTGATATATCGCATACTTTGTTAGCTAAACATGTCTTTCGTGAAATATATTTTACGTGAAATGTATGTTATTTGTAAGGCCGTAGTCCTTTTGACTTTATATGGTTGAAAACTTCGTATTTTGAGTTTTGTATAATTAAAAACGTCGTTTTCAGAAATTGTTTGTTAACACATAGCTACATGTTCGATTGAGCTGTTGGTACATCGATGTGTAAACTATGTTGTGAATCATTTGTAGCAAAAACAGGAACTGAAAAAGTAATGAATAAATTATCAATGAAATAAGGAGCAAAATAGCAAAAAAAAAAACCAAACAACCAAATATTTCTTACAAGGTCATGTTTGGCTTTCAACTAATTGACATTCATTATTAAATATCAAAACATCCAAAGATATCGTGTGCACAAGAAGAAAAGATTGTTTGAAATTTGACAATCGCTTTCCAAATTTTACTAGATAACTGAAAAGTTCATGCAACTTTTGTTTTCAGAATCTAGATGCATTACTTATATGTCTTTTTGTTTGGTTTTTTTTATGTCGTTTGTCAATTGGCTGCTGATTCGTAAACGAATATTTTTAGTCTGTTTTTATTATCTTTGTGATTGTAATTCGGATATTTCCCTTTTTGTTCTAGGATAGAAACATTTATTGGTAAATCTGAGCATACAACTAATTCTTAAACCATATCTGTAACGTACACACCAAAGAAGAAAACGTCAGACGAATACTCTTCCTGGTAATTTGTGAAAATGTGAGTTGTACGACACTCAAAAAGCATGTGTTCTTGATAAAGTATGCAGTGGTTCGTCATGCAATGCAACTCATACAATGGATTGGTCAATTCTTTAAGGCAATACAATATTGCTTATTTTGCAAACAAACAATTACATTGGCGGGAACATTAGTATGCCAATGTATGTGTATAAATTAGTGGTAGTGTTCCCGGCCTGATTAAATGTATTTATGTTTCGGGGCGGTACATTTTTTTTTAGCAATCCTCAATTATTCAGAAAGAAAAAAGTTATATTCAAGAGACACCCCAACCCCTCCGCCATATAAAAAAATAAGAAAAATGAAATAAAAATAAAAGCTGAATCTAAAAGATACACACTCAGAAAGATGAAGGGTTGGTGCAAAATTATGAATTCAGGAATACATGTACGATTCTGCTGCTTAGCATAGGTTTCTCACACGTAAAGTCGTTAGCAGAAGAGTTCCAATTTTGTATACATCAACTTATCCTAGATAGTTGTGAAGACCTAGTCCGGTTGCCCATTCAGTAAGATAGACGTCGGACCACCTAATTTGAATTCTTTCAAAATTCCAGCGATCCAGTAAACAAATAACTGTGACAAATAATTATCTTATTTCATTAAGTAATTGCAAATTGTATTAAGCTAGGTCCAAACAGCTTTTTACTGTCTAATATCTTGCAAGAACGCAAAAGACCATACGAAAGTATTTGTTTTATTTCAAATTGCACCACGATTACTAGTGTATCATGCATTCGTTCTAAAAACAAAATTTTAGACAAGATATAAGTTGAAAACTACGAAGAGCAAGTACTAATTTGAGAAAACCACAATTGATTGTAAAATCGCTTTGAAGTCCGTACAAAAGTCATTTCTATTTAAAGCTCAAGTTGAAATCAATCAAAATTTTCCAAAAGTTATGACAAAACTTTAGACCATTTCTAGGCATATTCTCATAATAGAAGGTTTTCCTCTTTCAAATGACATATAATTTAGCTGTTTCTAAGACGAGGAAATAAATCCAAAAAATCTGTCCTTGATTACCACTCTACTAATCAAAATGTTACCTGTCGTGCTAGACATAGGTGTAAGGTGTGAGTATCGATAAGTTTTCAAAAATGTCTACAACACAGTCATCAATTTTCCTAACGAGATACAAACTTACAATTGTAAACCAGTATTTATATGGATAAAAGGATTTTTTATGTATATTTTTCGAAATTTCAGTACAAAGAAAGGACGATAGCAAATTGTATACCTCAAATGGTTATTGTTACTATGAAATTGATCAATGGGCTCCCTGTTTATGTAATTTCTGTTGTTGCTCATCTTTGGTGTTGATGATGTTTTCTATGCATGATCATTACAAACTGCAAACAATTGTAAGACTGACCAAGGTCGTTAAAATAGATTATAAAAGTTTGGACTTAAAAATCGTAAAATCGTAAAACCCAGTTTCTGTCATTCAAATTCCTGTTAACAGACGAAAAAGGTCTGACGGTCTAACGATCATGATAAAAGATTACGAAAATACCATTTCATCTGAATGAAAAGCTAAAAGTCATTCCTAACGTCAAGAATCATCTGTGTTCTTTTCTAAACAAGAATCTATATAATTCAAAAGTAAACATGATGTGTTGTAAACGTTTGAGTTCATTATTTACGAAATACATCTTTAAAGCTGTATGCTAGCATGCTATATCACGGTAAGACTGACTATTTTGTCAAAGTAAGGTTGCTTTAATAAATATCTACTCCCGGTTTTCGGTGGGATTCGTGTTGCTCAGTCTTTAGTTTGTTATGTTGGGTTTTGCGTACAGTTGTTTGTCTTTTGGTCTTTTCTTTTTTTTTTTGCCATCGTGTTTTCAGTTTATTTTCGACTTATGAGCTTGAATGTTCCTTTTGTATCTGTCGCTTTCTTACTACAAATCTTTACAAGATGAGGTCTTATTGGAAATTAAACTTGACATCAATTTCACAGGGCCACTATGTTTACGTAAAGGAAATAACGGTGCTGAAATAATAATATTTGTATTATATACCTATATGGGATTATTTCTTTTCAGAATGACAGGTCTTTCTTTGGAATAAAAATCCTGACGCTACCAAGTGTTTTCTGTACAATTATCTGACTTTACAATATTCTTAAAGGTTTAAGGTAGAATCAATCTTTTCCTCCTTTTTATGCCCTGAATAATTGCAGAGGAAAACCTGTGTAAACGCAGTTTAACTTTCAGCGCACATAATGTGAAGTTCTGTTAATGTATCGCTACAATAAGGAACATTAAGAGAAATAAGGTTAATAATGCAACACTTATCACAACATTTTAAAAATAAGCTAAAGTTTACCACAACAATGTGTTGTTTTTATTGAAAAACAAAAGTATAAATTCTTGTTGATTCACACCTTAACGGAAATCGTCCTATGACTTATGGAGGTCAGTTTTTTTGTCTAGTTACATGTACATTACGATGTTATGTTCTCGTCGTGCTAGTTCTTAATTTTTACATTTAAATGTGCGTTTTACACGTTCAAATAACCTAAGTTTCTCATTTTTTTATGGGAATTAGATAGTAATAAAATGGTAGGGGAGGGGAATAATATTTTATTCTGATTCTTTTTTTTTAAAAAATAATGTATTGCCAAGCAAACGAGAGAAAATAAATACTCTGAATAAATTCTTTTTTTCAATTGATGAAAAACCTAATCTGCTTTTCCGCTGCAAAAATGTCATGAAAGCAGATATTACACATAACACCCCCTTTTATAAAGTAAATATAACAAAATACACACCAAATGACGTATTTTTCATACACCATGTTTCTTGATTCATGCAATTACAGTATTTGACCTTATAATTGAGTTGGACGGGGTTATACTTAAACGCACCAGAAATATCCCACTTAAATGATCGGCAAAATGGAATACAATTTTCTGCAAATAATATTTGTTCAAGTAATAAAAGTCAGATAATGCATATTTTATGGTTTTCCTTGTCGTTTACCATATATTAGGGTGTCAGAATCACCTCGAGATGCTATACGACAAGATAAATCTTAAAATATGCATTATATGTATCATACCTGACGCATGCTACGGATAAAGCTGTAAAGGAAAGATCATTCTTATGTTTCCAGAAATAGTTCAGTTTTGAATATTTTTAATAAATTTACCCTTAATGGACCAAATCATTTAACCTGTATAGGATGTTTTAAAAAATAACTTTTGGCTCATTTTCTAACATCAATTTACTGTTAATCCCTCATGAACAAACAGAAAAATTGTTTCCTTGTGGTTAAAATGCCTTATTATACATGCTTCTAAAAACTGCATTTTCTTTATTTATACTGAGCACATTGTGCCGTTCGGAAACGTTTTATACATTTTACACCAGGATTTAGTATGAACAAACACAACATCCAATGCCATACCGTCTCTGTCATCCTTTTCATTATTTAACTGAGAATGTTCCACATAACCTCCAACATTTTCAAAAAAATGTCGTATATTCTGTAAATTTGCGAACGACTTGTTTACAATGTTTTTCTTTCCATCGTAAACCCTGTATTCAATTGACCATATATCTACCACTATTTTTCCGGTAATCAGTTCGATTCTTATGGACTCCAAAATAACCATTTCTGATCCTTCAACGTCCAACGAAAAGTAATTGATATGATGCACACCTATCTGACCTGTAACTTGAACCATATTAAAACAAGGTACTGAAATTGTTCGTTTATTTCGTATCATTTTCAGATGGTCACTATCCATTCCTGGTGCCATGCCACCTACAGCACCGCCTTGAAAAAAATCAGTTTGTCTAAATGTATCTGATATACAAGCACACAGACGCCAGGCATGCCGTTTCAATGCATCTATTTCACGACACAAGTCGGGGTTAGCTTCTATTAACAGTCCAGTCCATCTATGTTTTCTTTCTAACCACAAAGTATTTGAAAATAATTGACCGTTATATGCTCCCATTTCAACAAAAAATCCTTGTTCTCTCGGGAAAATTGTATACACAGTTTCATCCTGATGTGCTTGCGAGTAGTGGGTATCAGTGTTATTTACAAGAAAATACTGATGGGGTTCTTTCAGGTAATTCTTAACCGTTTTTGTAAAATTTACATTGCTTTTAGTAAAAACATGCACACGATGTCGTCCATGGCCTTGATAATGTTGTTTCCAATTTGTTGTCAAATATGGATATCTTATCTTCCCATACCATCTACCGGCATTGAATTTGATATAATCCTTTTCAATACTATATGGAACCCCAATCGTTAACGATCCTCCTTCTTTGGTAACACACCATCCCCTGGCAACGGCAATAATGTCTCCCCATGGATTAAGTCCGTCGCCATACCTGCCCAATCCAGAATGTTCAATTGAACTAAAAGTAACAATAGCATCAAAACTCCCTAAAGTTTTGTTTAAGTAACTTTTTCGAAATTCATCGGGAATCATTGTTTTTATTTGAGGGTGTTTTGAAACAATTTTACCATATTCTAACGTAACAACCTCACGTGCTCCTGCTTCCAAAGCGCATGCTTCTACCCAGGGAATTTCGGAACCAATAATCAAAACTCGACCATTTATAATGCCATGCGCATGCTTTAAACCATCTCGTAAAGCATTTGTTTCTGATACTCCATACGTTCCTTCTAGCTTGTTATCTTTTGCCAGAGAAATATAATCCTGTATTACATTTTCTGTCCATACTGCCATTTTGGCCGTCTTGCTCAAATATGCTTCATTAAAATACCATGATGATACATTTAGTTTGTTGTTCATCGTAAAATCCATATGCAAATGTTTAGGTATTGTTTTTGGAGGAATAGACAAGCCGTGGCCACGATCTATGTGTTCATTTTTAAAGAGTGCTTCACAATTAATTGGGACAGATATTTGATCAAAAAAAGGTCCGGGTTCCCCTATAGCAACTGTTTCACAAAGTTCTCCACAATCCCGTCTGATATATGTTACATCATCGAATGATCCCTGAGGGTAATGTTCATTTGCTTTGGTGTCAATTATATTTGGTGAATTGTTGTCATAATTTACTTTATATATGTACACAAAAAGTATGACAAAAATAATTGTCACAATTTGTTGTCGTTTGATTCTTCTGTAGAACACCATTTCTGACAGTACGCTTTCTGAAAAAAAAGTACGACAGAATAGAGACGAATGCTTCCGTTTGGCAAAAGAAAGCTGAATCAATAAAATTATAGCTATTATCTTTAAAAGTACCTGAATTAAAGGGTCAGCGTGACTAATTATTGTCACCACTGGGGTCCGTCAGCTACAATATATCAACAAACGAACTATACACACTTTTCTGAAACAAAAATTAGACAACCATGCTACTCTGTCGTGGTTAAAACAACACATGGAAAACAAATCGTCAATTATCAAAAACTACTTCTGACGGTCAATATAATGACAAACTATACACGCAGCAACAGAATTTAGATTGTGATTTAATAACAATGACTGAATTAAACTCTGTGATTACAAATTAGGGTAAGTTTTTTACAATATACAATATACCTTCCTGAACACAAAAAAAAAACATAAATCATATTTAATATCCATGTCCATAAACAAATCACAAAGTAACATACGTATAATCGCAACAATCATAAACAAAATACAAAAAAAATAACACATGTATAACATGTATAATCTCCTAAGCAATAAACAAAACACGCCTGTATAACAGCACAAACATTACCCCCCCCCCCCGCCCCCCCAAAAAAAAAAAAAAAAACATGTATGAAAGGTGGTTAAAGACAACAAGGGATAAACAAACTCATATGTCGAAGACAAACCTATGACAAAAACGAAAAACGACCAAATGTCAAACAAAAGTCTACAAAAAAAAAACATAGAAAATTAACACCTGAACAACACGAAGCCACCCACTTAATCTAGGGGTGACCCCCATTGCTCCTGAAAGTTAAGCTGATCTTGCTCCTCAGATTGCACTATTCGTATTGCTCATGTAAGTACAAAATTATTTATCACAATATAGTTACATTTTTTTAACAATTTATTTTTTTAAACTTAAGGTTTACAGTATTTTATTTGTTATAATTTGAAACTATAGTAAAAGACGAACATACACGTGTCGCAATATTGTTAATTGAGACTAGTAGATTAGATGCCTCCATACATTTATCTAAATTCAATTTCTTTAAATAACATTGTGATAACATTTTAAAACTCACCTTATCTAATATTTACCCTTTCTTATCTGTTTAATATGTCCGGATAGAAAGGGTAAAGACTATTCAATATCTGAAAAAAAAGTTAAAACTGTAAGACAATTTTAAGGTTATTTCTATTCAGCTTACCATTATAATTCATAACTCATTTTTGCGTTATCTTTCTTTAAATGTTTTTTTTTCAATTTATTGTGTAAAAATCATATTTTCATATTATTTTACGATCATGTGGACAAATCTTTTGTCGAAAACGCGAAACCACCGTTCTCACAGTTTTTGTAAATATTCTCGACGATTGACAATAATTTCTTCGAATTTATGATATAAAATTCGGTAACGAATTCAACAATTCAACATTGCCTTAGCGTTTAATTTGTTGATGACGCAGTCTACTAAGCTACTTAGATATTTTTTGACAACCATTTGGAAGAAATTAAGTTGAAAGTGCGAAATATTTTTTCTTTCAGATTTGGCAAACAATATTCCACGATTACATGTAACAAAACTTTGAACGAAATTTAGATTATGTTAACGACAGTAACATTGCTTTAGAGACAAATCGGTATGCTTTCCCTTTAATTTTTTCCACAAATGTTAATCCTAAACTTCTTGTGCAGTTGCACTTATAATTGCTCGAACATGTGAGGACTTTCATATTTAAAACTGTAAGTGTTGTTTACGTTCAATTGGAAAAAATGTTATGGAAACTTTGATCAGTTTACTCCACGATTTCGGACACATTCTTTGACATTAGGAACACAATGATTTATAGAATTTAATATTGCTGTAAAATAATCTTTGATTTTGTTGCTAAGTATTTTCTTCTTCTTCAAACTGTTAAACAAAAGAAAGCATTACCTCATAATGCAGTTATGGTTGTTAAATAATATTTTCAGGTACTTCCGATTAAAATAATTTCAATTCGAAAAACCAGTAGACAAATTGCTTAATTATTTTCAGTTAGATTTGGTCAATATATTCGACAATTTCTAAAATTTCTTCGAATTTGAGATCGAAAAAATTGTGCAGCATGTTCTATTTTGAATGCGCTTTACTGATTTTCAGTTTCAAAAATAGTAGTTTATAGATCTCTTTTAATAAGCATTTCGGAAAAAAACAAAATCGATTACCCATAACTCAAGTGTATTTTCTCGAATTTGTTTCCAATTTTTCGTCTGAAACTTGTTGCTAATTTTACGGTCTGTTAGAAATTTTCGTTCAGATTTGGAAATTTTTTCGGCGATTTTAGTGTAAACATATTTTAATAATTAAATTCAAGTTAAATAATGTACACAATTTTATAATTTTATAAATAGATAAATAATATGATCCGGAAACAATCTGTTAACTTATATTAATCCGTTTCCTATTTCAAATAAGAACATTGCAAATGTGTAATACTCAAGGAGTAGAATGTATAAAATTAAATATTGTTACACTAGATGGAAAACAAACAAACCATATAATAATGTTGTGAACACAAGAAGAAGATTTTCAATACATTGCTCATGGCAAAATAGTTTTTTTTTAACTAAACATTGCTTTTCCTTGGAATTTTCTGTTTACATAGCAGTTCTGTGAACTTTTCAACAAAAGTAAATCGTCTCTTAGAATGCATTATATTTGTTCGAATATTTTTACAATTGATTGTCATGCTCTTCCTGTCTGCATATTTTCTGATGGTCAATGGAAAATACATATTGAAAAAAGCGCACCAACCTTTTTTTCGACATTTGGTCTGTTTTTTAAAGAATCAATCCAGTATATCAGATACCCTTTTTTGCTTCAATCAGTTTTTAAATCATATTGATCCATAACTCACACTGCGGTCACATTTCCCTAAAATGTTACAATATGTATTCTTGAACTTCAGGTCTACATAATTGCTGAAGGTCTATAAACAATACAAATTAAAACAAACCGACTCATCCATTTTGCTTCACATGTGGTAAACCTGTTCAACGGTTTTGAAAACTTTCCTGGAATTCAAGACATAAAAACAAGGATACAAAATTACATTGTAATGGCGCTTATTTATCTTAAATGTAAAATAGTATTTGATAGATCTCTTTTTCATTAAGCATTGCAGCACAAAATACCCAATGCATTTATATTTGTTCAAAAATATGTACCATTTATTGTCGGAAATGTTGAGTGTCAATTATAAATACCTTTAAATAGCTTTAATCAATTTTACGTTCAGAATTGACTAATATTGTCGAGAGTTAGTAACGAATTCTTGAAATATTTTTCAAACATTTTCATTCAGATTCACTTACATGTTAAACAATAACCCACAATACTTTAGAGGTTCTCAAAAACTGATATTCTCAAACCTCAGGTTTTCTTAATTTCTGACGGTCTTTTAATAATAGCTGTTGACAAATCCAAAGAACTATTTTTGCGTCAGATTTTGTCAATAAGTTCAAAGATTTCGAAGACTTTTTAAAGAATTAAAGTTAAAAAGCTGCTATAAATTTTTCAGATTGATATTGCATTTCTTCATTATGAAGTAGAATGATTAGTTTGCATTTAGCTATTCAACGAAAATAACTCACAATACAGTTTTATTTGTTCGAATGTATGTAATAATTTTGTCTGAAACATTTAGTTATCATTTGTTTAGGATCAATTTGAAATATACCTGTTAGAAAAAGCGCTAATCAGATTCTTGTTCAGTTTCGAGTTCTATTTTCGTGCGTTTATATTGAGTCCGATTACCTTATTTCTGAGGGTCATACAATACATGTTGACAAAATCGCTGAACTATTTTTGGGTCAGATATCTTCTATTAGTTCGAAGATAGAGGAGACTCTCCTGGGATAAAAAATAAACCTGATGTATATTGTTATATAATGTGTGCACCTTATTCATTTGGAAAGTAAAGACTAGTGTTTTATGAAATAGTTTAATTAATCTTTTCAACAAAACTAATCAATAACTCACAAAACAATTTTATTAGTTCGAGTGTTTAAACGATTTAATGTCTGAACTTTTTTTCCGCTCAGTTTGGAATACCTGTTAATAAAAGCGCTAATCAAGTTTCGTTCAAATTTGAATATTTTGGTGCGTAAATACCGAATTTTAGATACATTTTCATTCATTTTCATTCAGTTTAAAAAAATGTTAATCCATAAATCACAATCCAGTAATATTTTCCTAAATATTTTTCTAAATTTGCATGTTTTACCTTCAGTTTACATAATTTCTGAAGTTTTCGCAAACTTCAGATTAACAGAATCTAAACCAGTAGATTAAAAAGACGTATACCACGTAGCAAAACCGCTGGACCATTTTGTGTCAGATTTGGTCAATAAGTTGTGAGATTTCGGAGACTCTCCTCGAATTTAAGATGTAAGATTGATAAAGTGCTGTAGAAATTTATATTGCTATTGCGCATTATCTATCTTTTATGTAAAAAGCATAAAAGAGACACATATAAACTTGAAGTTAGATATGAAAAGAAGAACAGTGGTTCGTCAAATGAGTATAGTATTTTTGCCGCTTCCTTACATTTATTTTAATTCGTGCCCTTAAAATGACATAGCCAGTACTGACGGGAGGACTCACCATAACTGTTATTTACCATTTTATCTTCTCTGTTTAACATAGCTCACGGACAATACCAAATCTTAATCAGTGCTTTAAAAAGTATGATAACTTTTTCTTTATTCTCACCTGGTTTAGAATTATACATGTTATAATTGCAGCTTTTCCCCGAAAATAATTTAACAATTGATTTTGTAAAACATATATTATCTGACAATTAGTTGTAAAAAAATAAGGTTAAAAGCACGAAACCATATTTTCTTTTCAATTTTGTGAATATGTTGGGCGTGTTAAAAGAATTTCTCCGAATAAAAATCAAAACCTGGTAACCAGTAAAATATTGCCTTTGCAATTTACTTTGTTGTTGCCACAGTATATTAGTTTTTATTGTCTTCCAGCTGTAAAAAAGGTTAATCCATAACTTCCATTGTATTTATTTGTGCTAAATGTTTTTTACATTTATTTTTCAGAAAATTCCGTTGAACGTTGTAGTCGTATATTAAAAAGCTATAAGGTATTTTGCATTAGTTTTGGAGACTTATGTTTACAAAAATGTTGAAAAATGTTTACTGGACGTGACCTTCTGTAAACCGGGAAATTATATCTCATATTTCAGGCAAACGAATATAGAAACCATATACTTTGATAATCATTGTGAATAAAGCTGTTGTATGAAACAAGAACTGACATTTTCTTAACCGAAGAAGATAATCATTTCCCTTATTTTCATTTTATTATAGAAACCATATATTTTTTAAATCTGTATGAAGGAACCTATGATTTGACGCAAGAGCTGACTTTTAGTTTATCGAAAGTGACTTCTTATCAATGTTCTAGAAATTTAATGGTGGAAAGACCGTCAATTGTTTTTTTCTTGTTTCCACCACTTTTATTTCTTGCGAGAAGATTTTGCCTCGAACGATGTTGCTTAGATATTTGGTATATGATATCGAACAGATTATACGTTTTTGAAACTGACACCGTTTAACCGAACAAATTTCCTTGTAATATTTATCTCAATGTTTTGCTTGTTTTTCTCCTCTGCTTCGCAACCGTTTAAGGAAGCGACAAATTTATTTTGCCAAATTGTTCGTTACATCCTCAGGATATAAGAATATGCTTGACCTAAACGGTCCGGAGACTCCATTTGGGAGTTGTTTCCCCTCATGTATTTGTAACTCATGTATTTGTAACTGGCATAGTTAACAATAAGTGATAGAGACCTAAGGTCTTTTGACTTGAAGTCCTTGGTCAATAAAAAAGAAAATAAAGTCAAAATCGAAGGTCAAGGCCATGCTCTACATTTTGATTTTGTCTTATTACCGCTTCTCTCGGATACCGTATAAGATATCGACAAAATATATTTACTAAAATGTTAGTTACATGTATATGTAGCGACATGTCGTACATGTATTTATAGGCGTAAAGGGTGTGTTGACATTAAATGGGAGTTTTCTCCCTTCCAATGTTAAAAATTAGCTGTATGGGATGTAGCTCATTCACTTTTTAAAGTAGAACTAAGGGTCTTTTGATTTGAGGTCCTTGCTTTATGAACTTGAAATCATAGTCAAGATCAAAGTTAAATTTGACGTTCTAGATTTTTACCTTTGCTATTATTTCATATTTATTCCTGGAAAAGCCATGGGGTCTTTTGCAGTTAGTAGATATATTTCCATGAAAAGGTCAGCCTGAAGTTACCTGATATAAACCGGAAGTAACCGTTTGCTTCACTGATTTCATTTGAATTTACATAGAACTATATATGTTTTGAATCAGTGTTTAGTAACCTTTCAGGTGATACAGGAAATGAAAATTGCAAACAGGAATCAGCGTAAAGTAAGCTATTATTTGACACCAGAAATCAATTTGATTAAACTAGAAGTGGCTTATCATCTCCTTTTATTTATGAAAAAGTACCTTTAAGTTTGTATTTTCGGAATTAATGTGAGACAAGCTATCTTCTTACACCAGGCACACTATATGTTATCCAAATTTATTGTGAAAATAATTGTATGAATTTCAAGATTATATATTCATTACAAAAACACGTCACTGTTTGTGATGTCCTGTGCTGTCGTTAATGGAAGATGTTCGTTGTTATTCTGCGGTTTACATGTAACGACTATTAAAATTATTATTGATTTGTGCGTTTCTCTGTGCTGAGTGTTCTTGCGTTTGTTTGTGCTGTATTTCTGTCACGTAGTGCTGTCATTTTAGCGATATTTTTTAACAATGCCATATCAGCGGGAGGATTGGCTAGCCATAAAACCAGGTTCAATATACCATTTTTTCTTAAAATGTCCTGTACCAAGTCAGGAATATGGAAGTTGTTATCAAATAGTTCGTTTCTATGTATATTGGCGTTCGGTTGTTTTTGATGCACTTCAGTGTTTCTGTTGTTCCGTTGTTTTCCTCTCAGCGGTATACTACTGATGCCTTTATTTTTCTTATCTTTAGTAAATTTGGATGGAATGACCTTAGATTTTTTAATTATTTTTTTCCCGCCTAATTTTCTTCTTCATTGATTTTGTTGTTTTTAAAGGTTTTCTCCCCTGGAATGTTAAAAAAATAAAATGTATGGTAATACATTAAGAATGCATTGTAGACACC